GATTAAAATAATAACCAAGTTAAACAAAATTTTCTGACATACTGCTCTTTTTACTTTTTTCATACTGCTCTTTTTTTACCTAAATTTTTTAAAGTAAATTATACCTCTGAAGCAGAAGGTTGTCTCGATATGATGATGGGTTCTTCATATATTTTCCTATAAGATGACGAAGAGCCTAATATTCCTGGATTTACAAAATCAATTAATGCAAAAAATTCTTGCAGATCATTCTGAACTGGAGTACCTAAAGAGATAAAAGTGATAAGAAGGTCAAGTTTGTACTTTACAATCACAGTTTATATAGAAATTTGTACTTTCTTCCCTAAGAGGACTAATTACAAGTAAAGTCCCTAAAACTGAGGACAAAAGAGCAACCAAATCAAGCTGAAAAAAAAATATTAATCACCATATACATTTTTAACTGGTTTTAATTGTGTACTAAATTCTTATTTAGTACAGATAGTGGCTGAGTACAGGCTCTGAAGTTTGGTTGGGTTCAAATCCTACCTGCACCACTTATTCTCTGAGTGACCCTAAGCAACTTACTCACCCCAGTTTTATTAGTTGTAAAATAGGGATAACAGTAGCTCCTAGGGTTGTAAGGATCAAGTGAGTTAACTCATATACATACTTAGAATAGGGCCTAGAGCACAATAAATGTTCCATAACTGTTAGTGATTCTTACTATTATCATAACTGTGTGACTTTGGATAAATTGCTTAAACTCTTTAAGGTAAACTCAGGATTTTTTTTTTTTTTTACTTATAAAAGTGGGAAGATAATATTGTAATTTCCCACTGATATTACAAAAAATATAGAGAGAACGACAATATATGTGAATTGACCAGCACAGTGCCTGACATTTAGTAGACACTCAGTGAATGGCACCTATTATTATTATCTTTCAAAGTCATCATATCAAATTGGGATCTTCACTAATCCTAAAAGTTGACACAGACTGGAATGAATGGATCAATATACCCTGCGTATATTACATACTCAATAACTTCGGGCTAATTTTCAAAGAAACATTAGCATGTTCCAATCATTATAAATCAAAAAACCATATAAATCAGCATGGTTCAACACTATGTGAGATGAATTTTAAATAGCAGACTAAAAAAAGTTATCCAAAGATATAAATAATATAAGAAGTAAATAAACAGGCACTTATTTCATTATCATAAACAATATGAATTTCACAATGTCAGAGTTTAATGTTCACTTCCTTCAAAATTAAATGGATCAACCCCAGGTAGAACCAATGCTTATTAATTTTTTTAATACATCTAATCAGTTCTAAATATTTAGACACATAATAGAAAGACTAGAGAAAATACATTTATGCTGGTATGCATTTTGTTAAGCCTTTAAAAGAATATCTATGACAATGACTAATAAAGATAGGGAGAATGGGAAAAGCAAGAGGGAAAGGGGAAGAGGATGACTGTGGCTGCCTTCCAGACATTCAGCCAACCCCAGCTGAATCCAAGCTTTTGTCATGAGTCCTACCCTTTGTGAATTACTAATGCAGGAAGGGCTTGAGTCATACTGGTTCCCCAGAAGCAGAGCCTGAGACAAGAATTTGTCTGCACATGATTTATGGAGGGAGTGCTCTCAGGAGAAAGGGAATAATGGAATCAGAAAATAGCAGGGGAAGAAACTAAGCAAGGATCAGCTAAATTACAGGGAACATTAGAGTATAAATTGCACCATAAACTTGGTCCTGAAATTACCGAGGCAAGAAGGCTGGCATTTTTTTCACTTACCCCTATGAGTCAATCACTGACCAAGCTGCAGGTGAGGCAGTAAACTCTTATTCAACCAAGGATAACTCTCCAGAAAATGCAGGAGACCTGAATTGTTTAATAACTATTCCCAGCAGCTAAAAAGTATCCGATTGTCAAATGGGGGAGAATCCTACTTTTATTCCTTATCTTCAGTACTTTTCAGTAACCCATATTTTTCATTCTTCTTTTTAATTTCTTTTTCTTCCCCTTCTAATGCCATTTTAACTCCATAGCTGCTACTACTCTTCAAATAAGCAATATTGCCCCATATTCAGCAGAAAAAATAAACAGTCTGTTTTTCTCTTACAACACAGCATAACTAAATTCAACTAAATCTTGTTTTCCTTCACTTTTCTGATCCCAACGATCTCAAAATCAAAGGCTAGTCAAGAACTTTAACTGCAACTTTGGAAATCAAATATAAAGAATCCACTGAGTTCTTCAAACATCCAAAAATACATAAATCACTAGGTTAAGTTTTCCATTTCCTCAACTCATTTTTATCTTTAAAAATTGCCTTTTCTAAATATACATTAGATTTTCTATTCTCTGTTTTCCATGTTACTATTATCACTGACAAGCATTTGCTGGGCATCTACTAAATCTTAGGGATATAAATAAAAATTTAAAAAGAAGAGATGTGACCCCTGTCCTTTTCCCTTTATAATCTTTAAGTGACTAAATCTGACGAATATAAAGATCATTTAACATTTCTCAAAATCTTAACATTTAAATTTTCAAAAAAGCTTAAATAGTTTTCAAAGTCACTTTTAGTAATGGTTAATATAATCTTCCTACACAAGTTGCAAATCAAATGACCATGAATTGCTTAAAGATGGGTTCCCTCCAT